GTAGATACTTATACGACAAGAGAAAAACATCCCCATTGTTGATTAGTGAAATTCAAAATATTATGCTGAGTATACTTTTTTTTTGTAGGACAGGACTGTTGATGAGAACGAAATTCTCTGGAGGGGGGACAACACCTTGTTTCACTGAGACTCAGGATTAGTATTCTCTACTGTCAAAATCAGTTGCAAGTATTTGATTTTTAAAAAAAAAACCATTAAAAAATACAAAAACTGCGCTCACAGAGGCCATACATGGCAACAGGTCAGACTAAGCTCACGGGAGGTAGTTTGCTGGCTCCTGTGATAAGCAATCAATGCATTTTTGAAGGAGGGAAATTGAAATTTGAAAGGGAGAATAAAGGAAAGTAAGTTCTCCTGACCTGGGTACATCCGTCAGGGGGCACCCGAGGCCTCTTGAATGCTGACGGCTCCACCAACACTGTAGAGCCCAGAGGCAGTGATATTGCCCCCAGTTCTTTGAAACACGAGACCCCGAAACGTTAGAGGGGGCGAAAGCGCGGCACAGCACAGTTCAGGGCTCCTGGAGAGGAGTCAGCTTTGGAGAAAGGACCACGCGGTCGCCGCTCTACACGGGGGAGTTGGCCCTGAACGACAGACTCAAACGCACACCTGTTCCCGGCAGAGGCTCCCCTTACAGAGGGCCGGATGTTCATTACTTCCTCTCTGGGAGCAGGTTCCTGGGTCTGGGGTCAGTGCTGTTCAGAGGTGTTTAGAAATGCTAAAGGCTGCGCTGGTGGGCCAGGCGGGCGGAACACGGGCGTGCTGGGCACCCAGGCCCTCTCACCCCACCCCTTTCCCTTGGTGAGAGATTGGTGCAGGCCAAGGCAGGAATGCGGGGGTGAGCGGGTGACACACGTGGGGACCCAAACCACCCTCAGCTGTGCATCCCCACATGGCCTCCTTCCCACTTCATGCAGGGCCTGCCTGCAGCGCGGGTCTCTCTGCAGCTCCCAGAGACAACGAAAGCCCCCAAAGTGAATCTCATCTGAGCATTGAACTGCAGTTACCTTTAAAGAAAGAATCAGATGGGAGGCGGGGGCGCCTGGGTGGCTCAGTCGGTTGAGCATCTGACTCTTGATTTCAGCTCAGGTCAGGATCTCAAGGTCTGTGGGATCGAGCCCCGCATTGGGCTCTGCGCGGGCAGCACAGAGGCTACTTGGGATCCTCTGTCTCCCCCTTTCTCTGCCCCTCCCGTGCTCGCTCTTGTGTGCTTCTCTCTCTCTCAAAACTAAAGAAACATTTAAAAGAAATCAGATTGGTTTCTCCACTGCTTCAAGCCTTTTCCCCAGTGCTCTTGGTTTCCTGAGACGAGGGAGAAAGGTGACTCTACACGGGGTGGGGGAAACATTCCTATTTGAGAAACGCCCTAGTCCTGATGCTCAGCTTTGAGGGATGCAGAGTTCTGAGTCTGGCATGTTCTGTGGTACACAGCCCTCTGTATCACACCTCAAGTGCTCCCAAAGGATGCATAATCTACTCCCTTCAGGAAGTTCCTTGCAAGGCAGCCACTTCTGGGAGCCTAGCTGCCGAACACAAGGGTCAACAGCGACACAGGGCCACGGGCAGAGAGCTGGAGCCTGCCCTATGAAGGGTACAGAGCATCTCAGTGCTCCAGCCCAGAGGGATGGTGAAGTTTAATTAACAATTCACATAACTATCTGGGACAGTCCTCAGTACACTGCAGGTGCTCAATAAATGCCACTACTTATTACTAGCAACATTAAGAGCACTGACCTTCAGGGGGAACTTGGGAGAAAGACTGGGGCGGGGGAAACAAGGCCTGTCCTTGGTCCTGAAGAGTAGCTGGAGGCCACACGAGAGGTCCTGTGACGTTCCTTCAATAGTCCTGTCTTGGGGCGCCTGGGTGGCTCAGCCGGTTAAGTGCCCGACCTCGGCTCAGGTCATGATCTCACGGGTCGTGAGTTCGAGCCCCGCGTCGGGCCCTGTGCTGACAGCTCAGAGCCTGGAGCCTGCTTCGGATTCTGCGTCTCCCTCTCTTTCTGCCCCTCCCCCACTCATGCTCTGTCTCTCAAAAATAAACAAACATTAAAAACAAGTTAAAAAATAACGTTCAAGGGGCGCCTGGGTG